AGGAAGCGGTTATGGCGGACTCACCTACCAGGTGACCCCTGCCTTGGGCCAGCTCCCAGCCACGGCCGCCCTGAGCGGGGTGAGCCGGGGTCACTGACCTGGGTGGGACCCGGCTGCAGGAAACCCCGGAGGGAAATACCAGCAAGTGACGCAGAGACGGGCCCAGGGGCTAGAGGGGGCTGCGGGCACCTCCGGGCCCTGAGCCCGGTCCCACTGCCGAGGGCGGGCACGGCTGCGCTGGCCTGGGCTCAAAGCAGAACAGCGGCAGGGATGAGCACCGGCCGCCTGGGCCACCACGATCACCTCCGCTGCCCCAGACGCCTCTGGGTGTGATTTAAAAACCAAACTCCGAACTCCAGCCAGTCTCCAGTGCTCCCTCCGCTGGGTCCCGTGAGCCACAAATCGGGTCCTCAAGTTCATCGGCACGAGTCCCCCGGCCCAGCATCAAACCCACGCCTCCAGCTTCCCCGTGGGACAAGCAGCTCTGCGGTCCTGCTCCCCGCCCGCCCCCTCTCCCCGAGTCCCCACACCAGCTCCTGGCTGCCGTCCCCCGCTAGCGGGCCACCCGTGCAGCCCGAGAGAACCTACCTGACCGCATCAGCCCACCTGAGGCCCTTCTGCCTCACACACCCCCGGGCACCGGCTGCCCTGCTCCCACTGCGCCGCCCGGCCTCCTGTCCAGCACAGCCGTGGCCCAACTGCAGCTCCACCTCCCGTGTTCTCCATCCAGCCCCTGACTGGTAGACAAAGAGGCCAGGCAAGGGTGACCCTGGGCTTTACCCACCTGGGCCAGGAGAAATCCATCTGCTGTCGGCCTGGGTGACTCAGGGCGAACTGTTTCCCCTCCGAGCCTCAGTTTCTCCCCTGTAGCTCACAGCAGGCGCAAACCAGCTCAGAGCTGCTGTGATTCCAGCTGCAACCCCACCAAGGACAAGTCTGACGCCAGCGCAGGGAGCCGTGGCAGGAGAGCAGCGCTGGGGGCCGGCGTCCTCCGCCAGCCTCTGCCCTTAGCCCTGTTTCTCTCCAGGTGTGGAAGACCGAAAAGAGAGAGACAGTGAATTCCTCAAAGCGCAGGAGCAGCTCTTGAGCCCCAGCCCGGCCGTCACAGACCCGGCCCCTTGTCCCAGCTTGAGGCTGGTGGTGGCCGAGGGGCCAGTGGGCGCGGTCATGCTCGCCCATGACTACCCACGAGCACAGGGGGAGCCCGGATGTAGCCTGAGGCCCCCATGTGTCCCCGGGTGACCCCACCGCAGTCCCGTGGCTTGGTGTTTGCCAGCCCGGCATACTGCCGTCTTAGCACCATCCCTCCAGAGAGCGGGGAGAGGGCTCCAGGGACCCAAATCCTCTCCCTGGGACATTCCCGCGGTCGCTGCCCCTGAGAGCAAACAATGTGGGATTCAATTTCACTGCAAAATGAGCCGGGCTGGGTGGGTCTGAGCATCTCCGTCCTGGTGCCAGGCTGCACCCCGCGCCCGCCTGCCTGCTCCGAGGTAGAACTGCCCCCTGCCTGGAGCCCTGTGCCTCCTCCAGGCCCTCAGTCCTGCTGCAGCTTTTCCTGGACTCCCTGACCTGAGCAGAGACAGTGGAACCCTCACGGCTGCATCCTCCAGGGATGGGTCCACCCCAGCTGGGGCTGGTGCTGCCCCACAGCTGGACGTGATTCGGGATCGGGTTGCAAAGACCAAGGGACAGGGTGAGAATGGCTGTCTCCCTGCAGAATATTCTAGAATGACCCAGAACTCCAGGAGCAAAGAAAGAGACAGAGCCATCGACCAACTCCCTCCCCCCAGCCCCTGCACAAGATCAAAGCCAGGGCTGTCGTACCCCTGTAATCCCAGGACTCAGGAGGCTGAGGCAGGAGGATCGCCACAAGTTCTACGCCAGCCTGGGCTACATAGTAAGACCTTGTCACCAAAAAAAAAACAAAAAGAAAGACCCCCACAGTTTTGGTCTCCATGCAATGGGCAGGTATTTGGCCACAAGGACTGAAGAACTCACGCGGGCCACGGCAGTCCCAGTGACCCCAAAGTCATTAGGCTGCGTGAAAAAGGCCAGGCACCAATAGTCACGCAATGTAGCTTCCCATTTATATCAAATGTCCAGAATGGGTAAAGCCAGAAAGATGGAACACAGATTCACAGTTGCCAGGGCCTCAGGGGGAGGAGGCCCTGATGGCTTTGTGGGTACTGAGTTTCCTTCTGGGTGATAAAAATGTTCTAGAACTACACAGAAGATACTGCCAGTGTACCAGTGTCACCAGTGCTGTTTTCCATTGCATGCATTTTACAATAAAAGGCAAAAATGAAAAGCCGACTGTCCGAGGGTCCAGCTCTAGCCACTGTGGGGTGAGACGCCAGTGGGTTTTCGTAGATGTGCTCACCAGAGCCAGACTGTCCTTTGTAGGTGGTGGATTTATTGAAGAGGACTAGGATCTCCGCCCAGGCAGGCCGAGACTTCTCCAGGTCCCTCTCCCAGAGGCAACCCACACCCTGGCCCAGGACGGCTCCTTGGAGGAGAGCGACAGGAACCTGGCTTCTCCCAGTTAGGCTGGCCTCCTCTTCTGGTGCAGGACAGAGCCAGGGATGACACCAGAAGGGTCAGGTCAAAGGGACCCCGATCCAGTCCTGGTGGGGCAGCTGCCCCTGGAACAGAACAGGATGCCTCGGCCTCCGAGAACCATGACCTTGACCCCGGCCTCCACAGTCATCGGGAAGATGTGTCCACATAGTTTTTCATTCCGTGTGTGAGCTTGGCTTAGGGCATCCGATCTACACTTGTGGTGTGGATTGCTCTTCCACTGTTGTGTAACAAAGAATCACAGATTTGATATAATAAAACGGTGCCCACTTATGAACCCATACAGAACCCACTTCCAGAGCCCCTCAGGTTGTTGGTAGAATTCAGTTCCCCGTGGTTGTAGGACCTAGGTCTCCACTTCCTTCCTGGCTATCTTGAATCAAGTCCTTCTTATGCTTTTAATCTCTCTTACCTGCCTCTTCTGCTACCAGGGGGACGGAAATTTCTTACAAAGAGCTCACCTGATTTGGCCAGACCCACCAGGTCATCTCCATATTCTAAAATCCCTGACTCAGAGTTTACCTCTTTGAAATCCTTCTGTGCCAGTACTTGAGTTAGTGTTTGACCGGGTAACCACTCCTGGAGTATAAGAGGGATCTTTAAAGTTCTGCCACCACTGTCACCCTCCACAAGTGACCTTTCCCGGAGGTCACTTTTCCATCCTGAAAATGTCCGGGCATGTTGTCCAGCCTTCTCTTCCTTCCCAGGGCTTCACTCAGGGGACACCGCTTCCCCTAGAGTGCTTTGCTGGTCACCATCACAGGAGCCAACTGAGATGCAGGGATGTGAATCCATTTCCCCAGTGCTTTGGGTTGGGGGATTTTGGGGGTCCAGCGCCAGAGTCAAACTTACTCCTACATCATGTCACCTCACAAAATCCTAAAGAATCAAGGCCCGGGACTTCTCAGATGAGGTCAGTTGCAAGGCCATCTGGGAACCCAGGGATCCAGCCTCTTCTACGCACTGCAGCGAGGGTCTTGACTCGAACTCCTGAGTCTTCCGGACACAGGTGGCCGACTTCCTTCCAGATCTAAGAATCACCAGATTAGGACCACAGCGCCCCCTACACCCGCACCACACAACACACCC